TTATGGTTCCAGGTCACCTTTAATCTTCATCAGAGGTAACATGAACGCGCTGCGTTATATCCACGAAGTTCTAGAACCCTATCTTTTACCCTATCTTGACACCCTGGCAGATCCAACTTTCCAACAAGATAATGCCCGACCACATGTTGCAAGAGTCACAATAGACTTCTTTCAACATAATGATGTCACATTGTTACCATGGCCACCAAGATCTCCCGGCTTATCCCCAATTGAGCACGCGTGGGAGATTGATCAATTTGCAACGTCCTCCTCAGACTCTAGAAGCACTTCGAGAGGAGTTGGTGGTTGCCTGGAATGAGATACCACAGGAGGACATTGACCACCTGATCAGAAGCATGCCTAGGCGCGTTGGAGAATGCGTAGCACATCAGGGTGCATCCACACATTATTAAAGGTCAAAGGGCTTTAAAGCAGTGCAATCATTTTGAAATTTTTACCATTTACTTATTATGCTTCATTAAGTACTTATACAAAATTTTATTAAAATAAAACCATTTAAACTGTGTGTTCGGATTTATATGTCACTTAGTATATACAGGGTGACTTCGAAGTTGAGTCATTTATTTTAACAGTGAGTAGATCTAATCAAAAGAAATGTTTTTTTCCTTTACCATTTTTCTGGTAAAATTAAAGTAACAAAGTTATAGCCCTTTGGAAGTTTGAGTACCGCCCTGTCTCGATAATAATATCATATGCTCGTGTTTGGCAACAACGGATATAATCCGCCTTATCGGTTCATCGCATCGGAAACAAAAAAGCGAAAGAATTTGGAACGATGTTTTTACAATTATTTTATTCAGTTGTATACACACAGTCAGTGTCAGTCGGTAACGCGTGTGAATAGTGGTTGGTGTCCGTTGCGTGGCTCAAACGAAATAAAAAATGGCACATGTTTATGCGGATCGGTTTTCCAATCGAGTGCAACCAACCCCTCGTGCCTTTGTTAATGTAGTACAACGGGCTCGTGAATAAGGTGACTTAAGACCTCACAGGGGACCTCACGATCAAATACAGGTCCGCACTGAAATACTTGTCGGGAGGATACTTTATAAAACAAGGTAAACATTTTTTTTCATTTTTTTTTATTTTTACACACATATTTTGGTTTATCTTCCTTCTACAATCATTATCTGAAAATTAATGACTCAACTTCAAAGTCACCCTGTATATGATACAGATGATGTTGACATAAAGGTTCATATACTGGAAGATAATATATAGAAACTTTTCGATATTCATGCTCCAGAAATTACTATCAGATGCACTAAGCTAGCTAGCAGGAACAGTCTCTGAGAATATGCAAGGCGCTTTACGCGCTGTGGATCTTTCGGTCAACGCTGGAAAGACCGAGCTGATCCTATTCACTAGGAGAAGAAGGCTTGACGGGCTTGTCTTGCCGACCTTCTTTGGGACTAGATTAGTTCTATCCCAGTCAGTAAAATATCTAGGAATTATCCTGGACTGTAAACTGAACTGGAGAGGGCATGTTGAATTTAAGGTAAACAAGGCTCGCAATTCATTGTGGGCTTGTAGACGCGTTGTTGGTGTTAGGTGGGGGCTCAAACCCAACGTGGTTTACTGGCTCTACACGACAATAATGCGTCCGTCTCTCTTATACGGCTCCTTGGTTTGGTGGCCTTGCATTGGAACTGAGACGAATAAGACCAAATTCAATAAAATTCAGCGATTGGCCTGTATTAGCATTACATGCTCAGTGCGGACAACGCCATTGAGTGTAATGGAAGCTCTGCTGGATCACCCGCCGTTGGATCTAGTGATCCGCGGAGAGGCGAGAGTAGTCGCACATCGACTGTGGAGTCAGGGCAGCTGGGCCTTCTTGAATCCCGTCAAGGGTCATACTGCCATCCTGGTCGAACTGCAACGGGAGGATTTTCCAAGCGGAAATCGTTGCGATTCTGGCTTGTGTATCCCTCATTTTGGAGAGGAGTGGGCCTAGGAGACGGATAACAAACTTTGCTAGAATGGCGAGGCTTGAGGTCTAAGAAATGTGGAGGTGCACAAGGGCCCGTCTGAGTGGCCTATGCGCTGGCTCCTTATGGTGGCCGGTATGCCTCTAATTTCGTGTTTTCATTCGTTCATTCAAGCTAGCTGCATCATGGCTTACCAACGTAATTAAGGTCAAGCAAAGAATCAGAGACAGCGCTTTACTTAAGTGTAAAAGGAATAGAACTACTGCTATTTGGGAATTTTACAAAAATATGAGGAAGCTTACAACCCAAAAATAAAACTATTCTACCTGACCACCTGTGTAATGCGGACAGGATCAATGAATATTTTACCAAATCACGACCTAGTCTGATTCCAGCTGATCATCTTCTACAGTAATATGAAAACAATGCTCTTTTCCGGGTAGTTTTTCATTCCGACCAGTTGAAGATAAAATAGTTCTTAATATATACTGAGTGACAAAAAAAGGTGAACACCTACGTATGTTGATCTGATTTTAATAATTTTTGGCATATATGTTCAGTGTCCTTTACTAGTAAAATGATTAAATTTTCAGCTTGATTCGTCAACTGACTGCAGAAGCTGTTTCAATAGTGTGTTGAGGACCCACGAGTTCTTATACACTCATTGACACGCCTGGGCATCGTGCTGATAAGGTGGTCGATATCCTGTTGCGGCATCTAATTCCAGGTTACTGCAACTTCGTGAGTAAGGGCTGCTAAAGTCTGTGGAGGGTGTTGCAAATTCAAGAGCCTGCGACCTATCATGTCCCAGACATGTTCAATTGGAGACTGGTCAGGCGATCGTGGTCGCCAAGGTAAACGGTTCATGCGATGTTGATCCATGAAGGCTAACGATGCTCTGGCAACATGCGGTCTGGCATTGCCTGGCTGGAAAATCTGATTTGGGATGGTGTTTAGGTATGGAATAAGATGAGGCTCCACTACTTCCTGAATATAGCGTCGGCCTGATGAAAATTAGTGGTGATCTGCTACCATAAGCAATAGCATAACTCCCACCGCCTTCTCACTCTTTCCCGACCATCGTGCATCTCCAGACAGAAGCAGGATTCGTCACTAAAGACCACCTGATTATATTCCCAGTCCCATAGAATTCGACTGGTAACGATGATTTAAATAATAGAATAATTAAGCTTTGGTTTCCTCGTATCTTGCCTTTCTTTAAGCACATACTGAATTGTTGTCTGATTAATTCGGTTTATCCGTCAAGCTGGAAACAGGCAATAGTAGTCCCGCTACCAAAAAAGTCTATGTTAGAAGAATTCAAAGACTTACGTGCAATAAGCATTTTTCCGGGATTTTGCAAATTTCTGGAGACGATTATTGTCATGCAGTCGACAGAATATATAGGACTCAAGCGGTTCTACCAGATATTCAGTCTGGTTTAGATGAGGCTATGAATGCTCAACTGCACTTCTAAAAATTACCGATGATATTATTGCGGCAAAGGGTGCAAGTGAGTATACTTTGTAAATATTGTTGGACTTCACTCGTACTTTTGAAACTCTGAATAATTTTCTCTTATTGAAAATATTAAAATCTATAGGGCTAGCTCAAAGCGCAGTAACTTTTCCATAAGTACCTTAAAGATAGACAACAGATGGTGGTTTTGAGTGGCAAATCATCAAGGTTTATGACTATTTCATCAGGTGTACCTCAAGGTTCCGTTTTAGGCCCTTTGTTATTCATCATTTATATACAAGTCAATTCGCTTCAGGTCTACAACATGCTAAACTGCATCTTTATGCTGATGATAAGCAGTTGTATCTCTCGTTCAAAAGAGAAGATGTACGTGAAACTTGTGCGAAATTAAATATTGACCTCAATAATTTTATCAACACGGACACAGATATTGTTTGGTGAACAAAGAAGAAAAATCAAAAATATTGTTATTTGGTCCTAAGCTGCACAACGATAATGTAGAGTCATATATTGAAATACAAATTTGTGATGTAAACATTCCCTTATCACAACAAGCGAAAAGTCTTCTAGTTGTACTCGATTGTGAACTCAGGTTTAAGTCGCATATAAATGAACTGTTGCAAAAAGCGTATGGTGCTTTGAAGCTAATCTATGCTAACAGAAATTATCTAGAAAAACTAAAATAATTCAATTTGACAGTCTGGTTCTATCAATTCTAAATTATGCTGATGTTGTATATGGTTCCCATTTAACATTTCTGTATAACCAAAAAATTCAAAAAGAGCAAAATTCTTGCTTAAGACTTAATCTATGGTATACGCAGACCAAGCAAAGTCTTTCACAAATTATACATATGTATAATGTAGGGTGGCTAAACATGTATAACAGACGGATATTACACGCGGCTTGTTTATATCATAGATTAATAATTGCTGAACAGCCCATATATCTTTATAATAAAATAAAATTTCGCACCGATGTACACACTTTAAATGTAAGATTTAGGGCCAATTTCATCAACAACAGTCCGTTATTCTCCACCTATAGGGTAACAGACCGTCAGATACAGCGAATGAGTCTCAAGTTCCAATCAACAAATTTTAGCAACCAATAGCTATGAAATGTTGAAAACAAAATACTGTCGCCAAAGTATGAGATGACAACTGGTTGTTTTTTTCCTATAAAGCTCTTGCAGATAGCCATTACACACCTACTTGATGACAGGCTCTATCAAAAGATATTGCTGGTTTCCAAACATTCATTCATTTACTTGCCGTTCATCAGAACCATTATGGCACCTTAGATTGATATTCCCACAAAACCATTCAGGTTTTTTGATATCCATACATCCATAAAGTTGAATATTTTTTGTTGTTCAGGAACTGAACAAACATCCACACTATATTCACAGCGATTAAGAAATTCCCAAATAAATGCCTGTAGTTGTATTAATGCAACAATACATTCTAGAAAAGCGTTAGCTTTCTAGTGGCAAATTCACTGGGTCACCTTCTCAATACTAGTGTTGATAGGAGACCGCGTTGCCTAATTACTTTGTCTTCAATACAGGAGGTACGGTCTCAAACTGTACGAAACCGGAAACACCGGTGTTTACTTCCTTGGTTCCTTTCCAACGGAAAGCAGCAAGGTGAGCAATTCATTACAACAAATGATTGCCGTAGCTCGGAGACCGTCTGTCCCGACGGGCAAAGTCGTTGTAAGTTGGAACAGCACACCGGGTGCCCGGTGGAGCTGCCCATCTTACACCTGTGCCCCGCCACGCTGTCGTGGAACAGATGGTGCCGACACCGTGGAAATATATCGGTGATATCGGCAAAGTGTAATCCGCGAAAGACGTTGCCGTCTCTTCTGTTTTGTGTTACATTATTCATTATAACTTCGTACTGCTGTTGTGAAGCCATTAAATGAGTTTCACAGCATTCAGGAGTCTACAGAACATAGGTCTGCAGTTTGCTCATGGTTAACCAGTAAATGAACAACAGATCAACAGGGCACATTCAGTCTTTGAGGGGCTCATGTTGTTGCTTTTGATATTATAAAAGATTTAGCTGTAGCGAGTGGTTTCCTTAAGAGGAAGCTACCTTATCTTGCAACCATGTGATAAAGAGCCTATTTTTTACGATTTAAGTAAACTTTGTGTAAATTAGTCTTTTAATATTGTTGTGAGAAATGAAAAAAGAAAACGTTATGAATTCAGCTGATCTGCCACATATTTCTTTTGTTTCATGTAACAATGAATGAATCGGGCCACAAAGGTGCCACCAGAGGAATCACGAGGAACCTGATGACAGGGAAAGCTGTGGATGACTGGAGTGTGGCAGAATGAAATGTTTGTACCCAAAGCAAGTGGGACCACGCCAATCTAAGCCAGATGTTGGGAGAGGGGCCTACTAGCAGTTCCAGACCCCTAACAAGGAACAATCAGTATGAGCCAAACCCTCGAAAGCTAAGTAATAGCAACCTATTACAGCTTACAGCCAGTCCAGTACCAATCAAGCATTACAAGTTCCCGTCGATGTTGCCAGACAAAAAATATCAGTCAATACGAACTACCCAGTGCTATGGTAGTTCAGAGCAAATTGAGGCCAGCCTATTTCCAGCCATACGTCACCAGTTCCCGTTAAAAGCACCAAAACGAAAGGCATTTCAAATGCTGTGGAATTTGAACACCAGAACACAGAATAACATATACACATTCACACCAAAAGGCCAAACACACAGCCGAGGAAGTATACGGGTATTTCTCAGCAAATTTCGACATTCATGTCCTGAACCATTGATGCTAAGTTGCAAGGATTTATCATCAATTTAACATTTTTATTATATCAATAAGTATCTACACTAATATTTTAAAAGCAAAAATTTAGATAATATATTGACACAAAAAAATACGACTAATTTATTAGTCTAAAAGTCATTCCCTCATCTCATTCCTGGGTCTGAAATTACTAATAAAAAAATATATACAATCAAATCTGTTCATATTCTTATAAATTGAAGATAACTAAAATATTTGGTAATATGTATGGAAGTATATTATTGGTCAAGCTTTTATTGCCAAAAAATAAATATGTATATAAATAAATCTATTTAAACTCCCTTGAAATGAAATCATTCCCTCACCCATTATAAATATTCGATTTGTGGTCACACCATTTGATATTTTTGAACGCAGCTGTTAGGTTCTTAAAACTTGGCAATACTGCTAATAATGTCAACATGGCGGAATTTCTTAATAGTGAAAAGGGTTGCTGCAAAAAAGTATTGGATTTCAATAATTAGAACATTCATTTATCTGTGTCATAACCTCACTGTTTATATTAAAAGGTAAGTCATTATACTGTTCGAATGTTAATGATTCACAAAATGCTAAATCAAATTGAGGTGATGTACTGTTTGTTGTTTTCGGTGTCGTTTATGCAAATCCGTCATTCCCTCACAATCATTTCCCAACTATACTAGTATTAAAAAGTGAGGCAATGAGGGAATTAATGTTGCATATATAAAATTGTGGTTTTGGTGTTATTGTTTAACTGAAAAGCGAGTTACATTACAAACAAATTTACAGATAATAGTTGAAGACACACCCCCACCAAGTCCTGCACCATCTTTACAGCACAGAGCAGAGAATTTGTCTGCTCTCAGTAGACGTAGAATGCGCAAGCGGCGAATTATTCTGTACGCGAAGATTAAAAGTTTGTAAAATAAAATAAGGAACGCAGTTAAGCTTAGCGAAAAATATAAGAAGGGGTGTTTGAGATTGAAAGCTAAAAATACTGACCCAAACTCTCCAGCAACTAAATTATCTTCGCTTTTAAAGAATATACAAGTTCCTGACGTTGTAAGAAAAAGACTCATTTTCGGAGAAGCACTGCCAACGAACTTCAAGAATATCTATGAAGATCTTAGAACTAAACATGGAGAAAAGAAAAAATATTACATGTTGAGCTGCAATAAGTACAAAAGATACAAATTGCTATATAGATCGAAACATTTTTTCAATAACGATACGTACAAAAAGAACTCGTAGAAGTTAGCTCCAAAATGCTGAAAGTTAGGGGTGATCTTGTTCATTTCTCAGAGAATGATGAAAATATACTAAGTGACATATAAATCCGAACACCCAGTTTAAATGGTTTTATTTTAATAAAATTTCAAAATGATTGCACTGCTTTAAAGCCCTTTGACCTTTAATAATGTGTGGATGCACCCTGATGTGCTACGCATTCTCCAACGCGCCTAGGCATGCTTCTGATCAGGTGGTCAATGTCCTCCTGTGGTATCTCATTCCAGGCAACCACCAACTCCTCTCGAAGTGCTTCTAGAGTCTCAGGAGGACGTTGCAAATTGAGCAATCTCCTAGCCATCATATCCCACACGTGCTCAATTGGGGATAAGTCGGGAGATCTTGGTGGCCATGGTAACAATGTGACATCATTTTGTTGAAAGAAGTCTATTGTGACTCTTGCAACATGTGGTCTAAAAGATGAGGTTCTAGAACTTCGTGGATATAACGCTGCACGTTCATGTTACCTCTGATGAAGATTAAAGGTGACCTGGAACCATAAGCTATGGCACCCCAAACCATAACTCCAAAAGTGTGATGAACATGTCTTTCAACAAAAAACTGTGGATTCCTCCTTTCACCACGTCGCCTTCTAACCCTGGCACGACCATCGTGCATGCCTAAACAAAATCGAGACTCGTCACTAAAGACAGTACTGTTCCATTCCTGATCCCAGAGTGACCGTTGTCTGCACCACTCAAGGCGATTACGTCGGTGTTCTCGAGTTAAAGGGAGGACCCAGTGTGGCCGGTATGAAAACAAGCCAAAACTTCTCATTCGTCGGTAAACACTTCGCATGCCAATAGGTCTTCCGTGTTCTGCAAACCATTCATTTGCAATGGACCTGGTAGTGGAGAAACGGCCCCTTAAGGCCAATAATCTTAGGCGGCGATCTTCACGGTCTGTTGTTCTACGGCGGCGTCCAGTGTTCCTTGCTCTTTGCGTACGGCCTTCTAGAAGCCATGCCTGACAACACCTAACCACAGTGTCTACACTTCTTTGCACTCTAACTGCAATTGCCCGAAAAGAAAGTCCAGCTTCCCGAAGTCCCACTATACGGCCCCTATCAAACTCACTAAGTTGACGAAATCGTACAGGTCTCCGTACTCTAGCCATCGTAACCGATCGTAAAGGATGTCAAGAACCAAAATCCGCCAACGTTGATTCTTTACTGCGGCTGAAATATTCATTTTTAGAGCGTTAGTGAATTAAAAAAAAGCAGTATAAAAACCGGAATGTCCAACTGATAAGGCAGACAATTTTTTCACTTGTTATTTACAGTAAGATAAATACATTCACCAACTTTTATTAAAATAAAACCATTTAAACTGGGTGTTCGGATTTATATGTCACTTAGTATACGAGGATGTGCCCTTTAAAGTATAAAACAAATCTCAATACATCTATTAATAAATTAAGTTATGTTTTTTATTGCAATTCAGCATTAAATTGTTGCAAAAAATTATTCCCCCATCCTATCAGTCATTTCCTCATTTCGTAGTTTTTTAATAGTCATTTTTCTACATGGTATACACAAAAATACGGAGAACCTTTACTTTCAATGAACCTCACTAAAGTAAAACTTTATATTTCTGGAAAAAAAGGATATATTTTCATTATTTTTTTTTCAAGAAATGCAAAATGAAATTTATAAATTTGTTGAGAGGCCTAAATACTGCTTTTGATATTACAAGAAGAAAATCCGAGGATATACTCCAGGACAATAAGTACTCTAGTAACCAGAAGACTTCCATTCACGCCAAACCGTTGCAGCTTGGTTTGCAGATTCTTCGGGCTCCAAGAACCCACCTCTATGCCCAGCATCATACCAGATAAGTAAATCCAAACCTAGCAAACCTCAAGGTGTACTAGTGCAAAGCTATGTGGTGAACATAGAAAGATTTTGTAGGACAGAAATGGGATGGAGTAATAATTGTATTATGAGTATTTGCTGCTGAAGACCAGCTTCATTCGAAGAAGGGATAAGGCCACCACGTGCCAGCTCTCTAGCTTACGATAGATATCCTAAACCGCATCTGCTGACGAGTATGCATAATGAACAAGTATTCTCCCCAGCCGAAGTGGGGATACAATTGAATTTATTAAAACTAGTTGGACCGACACGGCATTCCGGCTCTGGGACTCTTGGAGGGTCATATCTTGCCATTCTACCCTGTGCGAAAGACCAGCTGGGCTCTTCGGTGCTAAATACATGGTGTACTGAAAGTTAAGATTTCACATAGCGTATAGATTTTTTTCTGGTAACACTAAAATCTTAAGATTACCGAGATGTTAGGCTCAACAAAATCAATCAAACCTAATTCGGTCCTGCACCTCGATCAGAACAAAGGTATACATACGATGCGGATCCGTACTCAACCCAGGTGCTGACCATATTATTTTAATTTACGGTGAGTGTCTTCGTCATGATACCGAGGCTTGGCGAGTGCATTAAGATCGTTTTTAAAGATCCTTCGAGATTTCTTTTTTGTTTGGGGCAAAATTAAATGTTTAGGGGATAAAACTGAGGTGAACATGATTGACGAACTACGTGTTCGAATTCAGCATCTGTTGCATTCATTCGGGAAACGCAGTCCATTATAAAAGCCTGCACCGATGCTTGGCTACGT